TACATTATGATATATTCTACAAGATTGATAATATTATGTACAACGTATTCTAAAGCCCAATTCCGACTATGCAAGTAATTTAGTCGAATGGTGAGTGTTTTAGTAGCTAACGGTCTATCAACTGACCAAAAAGCATTCGTACTACTTCCATGTACATTAGATTATTGAGTGGCATATTGCAAGATGAGCAAGAAATACAATAAAATAAATAAGCTTGTAAAGCTTACTTCAATAGTTGGTAAGCGACTCTCCTATCCATAACAATTGCAGTGCTACTCAGAGTTTTAAATTGCAAAGATCTTAGGGGCACTGCCACTGCGCCTGTCACCCTGAGACCTAAGTTGACAAGTCCCATGTCCCTGTAATTTCACCAGCACCCTTACCCTTCTAAATCGAAACGCAATAATGCTCACATGCACTTGAGATTTGTCAACTTTATGTCTCTTGGAGACGGGTGCCCTGCCACTGCAGAGCCTCTTAATTCTTTGCAATTTTAAGCTCTGAGTGACACGGCAACTGTTATGGCTAGGCGTGTTGCTTACCATCAGGCGCACGGATTGTTCTTCCCGTCACCTGATATTATAAAGTTAAAAAAGAGTTTATTCTGTCCCACACAGCTGGGCCTCCCCGCCTCTTTTTTCATTGATTCAGATTGTAGCATCATCTGACCTGTTCCTTAAAAAGGAGTAGCCGATCCCGCCATAGCCGACGTGGTCAACCGCATCTCCGTTTTAAGTCGAGGGGCTTTCACTCCGTGGTTATCCTGGTGTGGTTATCCACAACTTGTTCTGTAGGAATGAACTAGGAGACGTCAGTTCTAATTCATTAATGTTGTAAATATTTCGCAACAAAATTTGAAAGTTGTATTTTCACTCTAACGACTTTTTTACGGCTACTTATAAACTTGACTAAATCAACAGGTCGAACTTGTTTAGTGGATGAAACACAGTGCAATGGCGGTGGGGGGCGCCACGCACCCGCAAATATAAAATAAAATAGATCGACTCGACTAAGTAATTTACTAAACCACTCAATTAAAATTTTTTTGTTCAGACGCCGTTCATTCGGCGTCGGGCAGTGAGCGTGCTTTACTGCTCCGCCACCAATGAAGAGATTTAGTAGTCGACTTAGAGTCGGCGGCTCAGCGGTGACAACTGTTAGTCGTGCGAAGCGTGACGAGAAGTGAGCATGCCTTACAGCTCCGCCACCAATGAAGAGACTTAGTAGTCGACTTAGAGTCGGCTGCTCAACTGGAACTCTGGAACTGGAGCGCGACTGGAAGTGAGCGTACTTACAGCTTCGGTACTTTTCTGGAAATAGGGATGTTACTGTACGTGCACCCGAGGTGGCTCAAAAAACCGGATCAAGTCCGTGCATACGTGCTGATACGGGCTTAGGACCTGACTTAGATGGTAGTGCTCTTCCCGCATAACCAAGAGGTTGATAGGGAGGGGCGATAATAATAATAATAACGCACACACTCAACATAGCCCCGCACTAAGGAAACCCTGTGTCGCGGGTGCCATAGACACACATAGACAACCACAAATTAAATAATAAATTTACCTATTAACTTTAATGAATTAAACTACCTAAATCTACTAATTAAATATATCTTAAAATGTTCCTCGTGTAATAGTGTCACGTAGTTTTAAGATACCAAGCAATTGTCTTAACTCAATAAAGATTTATTATTAGATTTATTAGTATTAGCATGAACCAATAACTGAAGAGGACTACACTAATCTCCATACTACAGAAATAGTTTTAAAAAAGTTCAAAATTCCGTCTTATATCTAGATGGCGCTGATCAATAGCCTGAAAGTAGATTAATTGTGTAAATGACCGTGGATCATGTGGATATCAATTATTTCCTCTCTAATATGAAGTATAACTCTGTTTTTTTTCTTGTATTATTCAAACATTAATCATGGGCTAAATCTAATTAGTACCTTATTATTACCGTATTATATCTAATTAGATCTAATTACCGTTTCCACAAAATATTTGTGTCTTCATAACTCGAAAACTACTTTGTCAATTCTAATCCCATTTAGTTTAACTTAAGTTTTCATATTTCAATGTTATTGGGTATAATGAACGAGAAAAAACAACAGCTACAGTTGTTAGGCCGTGAACACCGAAATGGCTACGGTAATTAGAGAATGGCAGAAATAGATGGAACTGTACGAACAAACTAATTTATAAACTAATACTTCCTAATATGGGTGGGTAGATGGCGCTAATCCAACACAAAATAAAAGATAGCCGGCACTATACATAAAAATCTGTGCAATAAGTGCCATCTAGTAGATTTGTTTGTCATCACTAGAAATTAGACTAGGTTTGATAAATTGCAGCATGTCAATGTAAAACAAATTGGTGACAAAAATTGGTATTTGATACTCGTCGATTACGCTGTCTTCTATCGCGATTAACAATTCTCTCTAGTTATTGGCCCATGGTATATTACCTATTAACAAAAACAAATTATAAAAATACCACCACAACCAAAACGCATACTTGCTAATTACTTATACTATTTAGAGAATGAATACGTTAGATTTACTTTGAACAATTTAAACTTATGAGTTTGGATGTTGTTGTGTTTCATGACAGCTAAATTTAGGAATAAAATTAGCAGCATTAATTACCATTGCGTGGTAATGTAGGAGTTGTAAATGTGTGGTTATATTTGTGTTCAGAGTGCTGTTTACATTTTATACAACTAAGCAAGGTAATTATGTTGCAAAATTTTAGCTGAAAATTCTCCTATCTTGTCATAACAAGACTTCTGTTACGTACCACTTTATGAATTTGTTTTGAACTTCGTACTTATTTCATGTATATCGTCGGGGTTGTGCAGTTACGAGTAACTAGCATTTGATTATGAGTTTCCATTTCGGTAATTTAGTGTCCAAATGAAATCCGCATATATGTCGTGGCAATCAATTTAGCGTGATTTACGGGAATCTTTGTTATCAGTCCTTACATAACGTAAATTAATGCTTACTGTGCATAAATGAAAATCATAACCATTGAAATAACAAAGTAATATCGCTAAATCCCTCTCCTGTAAAAATTTGATTTGTGCCGATACGCGCCTTTTACCAATGCTCGACGATATGTGAATTTTTATAAATATAGAGATTTGTTGGTTTTGTTGTAAATTACCCGTACTCTTAGATAAAATTTATATGTAGTTTGAAATAGGAATTTTTGTCGTCTGCTAAGAGTATTTTGGTCGAGGGAAAGATTTGAATGATAACGTAATGCGCATTTCAGTACACTAGCTTCGGAGTTTAATTTAACACTGGATATGGTATTTAATAAGATAATACTGTCCTTTGTGCGCGTTCCAGTGGTAGTAAGTCTTCCAAGTAATTGGGATATAGTTGACTCCTTTAATAAAATAAATGTAAATTAGATATAAATTACTATTAGCACATTGTGCATTAAGGGCGGTAGGTAAGGAATTACGAACGAGACTCTCTTATAAGCCCAAAGCCGAAGACTAATAGAGACCATGGGTGTAATGAGAAAAAAAGGCCTCAGGACATTGACTTACAAATAAATGGACGACGGGTCTAATACAAAAACCACGAAAAAAATGTCCCAAGTCAACCTATTTAAACGTAGTTACATGTAAAGGAATATGAAAAAGCTAAAACGTTGAATTTAAATTGTAATGTCATCGCAGTACTGTCTAATTTTGCTTGCTTCGCTGTCAGTCAAACAAACGAAGATTAAAGCGTGAATGACACTCTGTATACGATTTTAACGCCCTATAAGTTCAGACACTTTTTAGCTCGGACCCGACGTCCATATAATTGTAAGTCAATGCGCCAGGGTTATATTTAGAGCATTATGGTCAAGTTAACCAGCATGCAATCTTACTATTTACGTGCAAGTGTGATAATATTTTATAGATAGAGTATTGAGGCTTGCGTTTGTTTCTTATACTACTGGTATATTCAGGTAAATAAAATTGGCTTTACCGTTCTTTCTTATTGAGATATCGATGTGTTTTTGAATAAAAAACAGTTATTTATGTAAAGAAGAATCGTTTTATATCATAGGTGTTTTGTAGAAACAGCGTAAGCGATAATTTCGTAGATTCTCTTCTGGGGAGCATGTTAAGGTGTTTAATTTAACGGCTGTTTTAAAATTCAATTTTGATTGGTGGTCTTTTTGTTTAACTTTTAAGTTTTAACCTAAAACGTGCTACCTGAAAAAATCGACGAAATATCGCTGACAGCTTTTTGTACAATTCACCGATGATATGCTCATGTTCTAATAATCATACCAGCACATGTCTGTAGTTATCGTCGACACTGTTGAATAAATTGATGAAAATTGGCCTCCACCTATGATTTACTGTTTAAAAAAAGGCTTATGATATTAGCGTCTGCGTCGTTTAGTTTCCAAAATGTCCCAATTGGCTTTTTTACCAGTCAGCGTCGAACAAAAGGATGAACGTGACGTTTAGGAGTGATTTTTTTTTAATTTCATGAAAATACCGTCGTGTAACGTATTGTAGTTTTCCCGCGTTTCGAATGTTGTCCTATCAATAAATTTTCGTTACAGTTATTCATGTGTCTTTTTTCTAAATTATCTATTACATATTTTAAATTTTGTATGACGGGCGACGGCAGAATAGCAGCGAGGGCTATGTAGCATAGTCCTCGGGTGCTGAGTCATGGACCCTTTTGACATGCTTCTTTTTTTTATTTATTTCTTTATGTAATGTTTGTAATTTATGTATTTACTTTCCACGTCAAATAAAGCCGAATAATTTAGTATAATTTTAATGCCGTTAACAGCGTATAGATGGCATCACGTGTCTATTATAATTTGCATTACAGTGAGAGTTATTTGTCTATTCACACTTCTCATTGTCGTTGCTCTTAATGTCACTACGACGTAAAAAATATGACATTTCATTATTGAGACAGTCAATTTGCGGCACAAAAAATTGCTTTATCGATTTGTTTCATCAATTGCTCTGTGTAATACAATTACATTGTTCGTAGATAGAAGAACAGTCCTGGAATTGTTTTTAAAATTCAATCTAGTTATATTTTCGAAAGAAAGCTTACGTGTCAAAAGGCAGACTATGTTAAATTGTGCACAATAACTATTTTACAACACGTGTATAGAGTAGTGCAATGTTCATTTTCGTTACCTACAAAGACCCCCCAGAACTATCAACATCACGTTCACGGCTTTCTGACGACGAAGACCTGTCAATAGAGAATGTGCTCTTAGTAAACCCAAATTGCTACGTCAGGGTTATGTTGGAATTTATTAGAAAAAGATGCAGACTGGCTGCTACCACAGTATTCGATTTGTGCGAAGAATCCGGAAACTTAAAAAATTTATTCAGTTACCCTACTTATGCGTACGCGACGGATAAGTTTGAGCATAAGAAGACGTACTTCCTTATTGTTTTAAAACAAGTAAGCAATGTCGAGAATTTTTGGGAAATTACTCCACTAGCGTTTACACGCATTATTAATACAGAGACCGAACACAACGAAAAATTTATCGGTGTTTCCCGTTGGTCAGATTGATGGTCAAACTTCGAACCGGCTGGACTCCATCGGAGCTCTCATCACACGTTACGATTTTTTTTATATCCTTGTTGCAGATCTTTGTTTTTTTTAACGAATTTTTTGCAATAGCGCCATCTGTGCGAAATATGTGAAAGTTTTTCTTCACTCAGTCAGGTACTTTTACAGCTATCAGCGACTGACTAAAGATGTCACTTTAAGAGACAGAACTCACGAAGCGGTTTTGACCCGCGCCCGTTGCGGTTGCGGGACAGCTGTTTTATTTCAACACTCACGATACCGCAGGTTTGTGCGGTCACGTAGCCGACGCGGTTGCGGAACGGCCCGCAAACTTGGCGGGAGAGGATCGCAAGGCGCGCCGTTATTTACGATCGATTGAGATCGTTAGTTAAGTCTCAGACGTCGCCATGGACTCACATCAAAAACGAGCTATCGCGTTATACTTACTTCATCGAAAAATTAAAAGAAGAAGGCCTAAAAGATTCAGGGTGCATCCTCTGATTCCGGAAAGAAATCGTATTATTCGGATGTCCGTATCTACTTATTCAGAACTTTTAAGGAAAATGGTAACTGGTAGCAGATTAATTGATCGACTTCAACTTCCATAACTTGAGAAATTGACACGCGCTGCCAAATAGAAAATCAATCACAAAATGGCGTGGGAAGGAAAGACCAAACCCGCGCGCGTGCAACGCGTCACCCGCGAACCGACCGCAAAGTGCGCGGCCGCCGCGAGCTATCGTCTCCGTAAACGCATGATTTACTTAAAAGTTTAGTAAAGGAACGACCCGTATTGTGGGACAAAACCTTAGAGATTTATAAGATAAACGCCTTTTTTTATTGCATGGAGAGAAATATTTGTTATTCTAATACATATAATTTGTAATATTTGTCACACAGTCGGTAGTAAAACGACAGCTACCTGGAAGTGCACTGACACGTTTACCCTACACACGTCTGCCCGAAAGTATTCGTATCGTGTACATACTCATCATTTTCTTGCCTGCAACAGACACGAAATATTTTCGTGGCTAGATCCGACAAAATTCTTGTCATGTACAAGGCCATTCTCGTTTTTTCTGTTGTAGACACGACGAATTTCTTGCCAACTTATGTCTCAGACTGACGGGCGCAGTGGCAATGCCCGCATATCTCTGCGATTTAAAGCTCTGAGTTCCACTGCAACTGTAGGCGCCCGACTTGTTCATCCCGTCATTTGATATTATAAAAAAGTAATTTCTCAAAAATAATTAAACATCATAGTGGTCAAACATTATCAAAGCGACAACTCTAGTCAGCTGCTGGTAGCTGTAAAGGTGACCACTGGCTGAGTGAAGTTCGCTAGATTGGAGCGACTGGCACAGCGTCTGGCATGGTTTGCTAGAACACGTTACGCTAGTAGACGTGTATTAATAATTATAACAAATTAGTGGAGTAATTTCACAAAAATAGGTAATTGAATATCAAGGTGGTCGTATCGTGATAGTCAATAAACTTAAAAAATCTTATTATAAATTTTAGGAGTCGGAGAAAAACGTAACGGTAATACCTCAGCTGCATCGCGAGAACAAACTTTGCACGGAACTGCAGACGAAAATTTATCGGCTCCTGTTGACTGGGGAACAGAGTAATGTTACCACTACTGACGGAAAAGTTGCCAGTGCCAAGACAAAAGCTGGAAAAAAGAAAAAAGAATGATAGGTACCGATACGTTTGATGTTTATACGCGTTTTGTTAGCACAGCTTTGCTCATTTGTGACTTGATAATCATATCCATAAGATTGTTTCGTAGCGTGTCTTAAAAACATATCAACCCGTCATTATTATCTCTGGACGGAATAACTATTGATTATTAGGATATGTATACAACTTTGATATTAGTTGCGATTTATTGAATAGCGCCTACATTGATCAGATTGGTCATAATGTAAATCAAGTAGAAAATGTTTTTGCTAATAAAAGATGTTCAGGCGCTATAGCCACAGTTTCTAATGGATTTAATATTTTTTTAACAAAACTCTGCTAACAAAGATTTCTTTTAGTGTATTTGCTTACCTGTAAAATAAAGATTGTTTATTCTATCATAGACATTTCAACATAGGGCAAAGTTATACTACAGCAAATACGAATGATAAAGCAACGAAATCACTATTCATGACATCACACAATCGAGTAACCACTCTGATATTCACTTCCGAGTTTGTCTACCTTCCGGTGTATACCACTGCTCCGCTCTAAACACACGTACGATTAAATAAATACTGGTATTGTCTGACTGTTGGGTGTACACGTGGTCAGCGTTTTGGTGTGAGCATTTAGCATTTTTGCGCTTGTTCTGATTTAGTTTAGTGAAAGAATGAATTAAATATTTGGAACAGAAACAACTTTTTCGGATTTGAATTGCGTATATTTGTAGTATTAAGTGTAATAAAAAATATATAACAAAAGAAGTAATTAATACCTAATATATTTTCTTTACGACACCAAGTTTCTACAAACTTTGTTCTGCCTAAACGTGCTGTACATTTACGAAAATGTTATTTATGTTAAGGGGAATAGTATTATTTTTATTAAAAATAGTGACAGACATAATATTAAGTCGAGTAATATAAATAAACTGGCTATTTTTGACAGTCGTCGTCGCAAAGTCAAAAAATTCATTTAAGGGGCAATGTGTGAGTTTCTATAATAAGATTCCGGTTGAAATTCCAAATTTGCCATTTACGAGGTTTCAAACTACAGTAAAACAAAAACTTTATACTAAAGCCCTGCGTGCATGGATGGCAAGAATCCGTGGCAGTAACCCGGTTAGCTCTTGCAGGTAGTTTCAATATAAGAAGATATTTGTAATTATTAATACAAAGATCGAACACTCAGAAAAAATTCCTTCGATCCGGTCGGCTTAGTTGGTATAGCGTCTGCCACGGTATGCAAGAAGACGTCGGTTCGTATCCGACCGGATCGAAGGAATTTTTTCTGAGTGTTTTTTCTGAGTGTTCGATCTTTGTATTAATAATTATAACAAACTAGTGGAGTAATTTCACAAAAAATAATTGAATATCAATTCAATAAAAATTTAATTAAGATATTTGTAATAAATATTGTAAATGTTAAATGTATTCAAACGTATATTTAAACGGCAACCCCTAGAGTTTCTCGCTCATTCTTCTCAGGGGAATCTGCCTTACGAATGAGCAGTAGAGTTTAATTATAAGACGATGTCAAGTGTAATTTGCTTACCTATGAAGAAAAGATGATTTTAATTTGAATTTGATAAGTGACGGGAGGAAGAAGTTGTGCGCCCGGTGATAACTCTCAAAGCTTTAATCGCAGAGAATCTGAGGGCACTGCCACTGTCTGTAATTTGGACCAGCACCGTTACCCTTCAAAACGGGAACGCAGTAATGGTCACATTCGTCTCATTCTCATTAACCTCGTTCTCCATCCGACATCCATCCTAAACAATTACTGTCGAATAAGTAATAGTGGTGAAATTACCGGCACATGGGACTTGTCAACTTATGTCTCTGGGTGACGGGCGCAGTGGTAGTGCACCTCAGCTCTTTGCGATTTAAACCAATCGGCGCCGCACGACTTGTTCGACCCTGCATTAGATATTATAAAAAAGTAACACCTGATGAAATTAAAAAAACAATGTCAAGTATTAAGCTTCATTCGCATCATGCGAAATAAGAAAGGTACTTCCCTGGACGTACTCTTTCACAAGGAGCTCTACTGAAACTGAATTAGGGTGTTTGGCTTATTGTACTGTGTTATTCGATTCCATTATTATATTCGATGACCTCGGTGACCCAACAGTTTGCACTGTGGGCGCTAGATGTTCATCCATATCCAGGGCTCGATTCCCAGTAGGACCAATATGAGAAATTTATTTTTCTAAATTGGTTTTGGGTAATACCCTGTGAATTCCGTTGCTGTTAATCTTAGTGCAAACTGTTTACAATATGAATGTCCTTTTTATGATACCAAGTTATTGGACGAAGAAGTCGTGCGTCTGGTGGTAAACGCTGCCGTCCATTAACTGACACGCAGCTAAGTGACTTATAATCAAATATCCGTTTTAAATAGCAAATAATAGAGCACAAGATTCTTTTAATAATCTCAGTACAGAGTACTAAAAAACCGACCTCAAAAGTTCGTAGAATTACAAATCTATTTGCCAAGTTTTATTGGAACCGGTTATCGGAAAGTGCGCAAACTCGGATTCATCTCGGGTTCGGTCTAGGATTCCGTACATGACGGGACTTAATACAGGAGATAAGAAAAATCGGTTCTTGAGAGATAAAAATGCCGTGAATTGGCATTAGCAGGCGCTATTTATTAAAATAAGTTTTCATGCGTGAACAGCCATCCTTAGAGATGGATGATTTTCTTCAAAATGAAATGGGACCACTATGGAGGTATCCTCTTTCCAACGAAAAAGAATCAACAAAATCGGTGCGCAAATGCCGGCCGGAGTTATCGCGTAACATACATACAAAAAAAACATACAGTCGAATTGAGAACCTCCTTTTTTGAAGTCGGTTAAAAGCAGTTCAAACGTATAAAAAAACGTGTTCGACTTATCGGAACTTACCCGAACGATGCATAGATGAAATATCATTAAACAAATTCAATATTCTAAACCTGGGTTATGTTTTTTATGATATCCTAAAAATGTATTTTGTCACCTAACCGCGTTGACTTACAAATAAATGGACGACGGGTCTAATACAAAAACCACGAAAAAAATGTCCCAAGTCAACCTATTTAAACGTAGTGACATGTCAAGGAATATGAAAAAGCTAAAACGTTGAATTTAAATTGTAATGTCATCGCAGTACTGTCTAATTTTGCTTGCTTCGCTGTCAGTCGAACAAACGAAGACTAAAGCGTGAATGACGCTCTGTATACGATTTTAACGCCCTATAAGTTCGGACACTTTTTAGCGCGGACCCGACATCCATATAATTGTAAGTCAATGCCTAGCCGCGTTATTGTTAACGGACGGCAGAGCGACACGTCCGACACGTCTTTTCATAGCAGTTGCTGTGCTATTCAGATTTAAATTATAAAGATCTGAGGAGTACTGCCGTTGAACCTGTCACCCTGAAATATGAATGACAAGTCCCATATACCTATAATTTCACCAGCACCTTCAAAACTGGAACGCAATAATGCTCATATTACTGCTTGGTGGCAGAAATAGGTAAGGCGGCAGTACTTCCCTTGACGAACTCTTTCACAAGGAGATCTACTGCTACAAAAAATGTGTTATTTGAGTTTCGTTATCTTCGATTATTGGTAGAGTCTGTGTTCTAGAAAGCCCCAGAGTGAATTCTATTGGGACCTATTCTATTGGGATCTATATTTTGGGACCAGGCAATTGGTGTGGTTGTTTAGTATGTTATTAATAGTATTATTTGTATGTATAAGTCACTAATGGAAGAAAAAAACAATGAAAGTACCTCAAACCTCGACTACTATCAGAACCGTTGTTGCCAAAGACTATGAAATCTTGATAATGATTGGTTTTAGTTACTATAATTTAAAATTTACCCTATTGGCATATTGTTGGAAGATCAATACCATTAATACCCATTATTGCAAGTTAACACGAGACGTTTTGATTTTATATTGAAATTTCAATCAATGTGCTGCCATCTAGCGGTTATTAGCTAAACGACGACGAATTCGAGACGTTTATTTAGTTCTCCAAAAAAAAAGACGCTATCATATTGTAGCGGTAAAAGATTTAGTTTCGTTCGTTTCCTGTAACAAAAAAATTATTGCAATAAACAGAAAATTTAAAATTTATTGAAATGAAATAAAATTAGACTTAACGATTATACGAAACGTAACCATAGATAATAATACAAGTGCAGCTATCGTTTTTGCACTCCAAAGTAGAGAAATGAGGCATTTTTTTTCTATGATTATGGAGTATTTGCGCGAGATAATTGACACGAGCATAAAGTGCAAAGTGGAAATGGCGGCCTGAGCTCAAGTTTGCACACATCACATGGCACACGTGCCATGCAAACTAAGCACTTCTACTATATTTATTGTGCTGTGGGTATATTGTACAAACATTTATGTTATATTAAGCATCCAAGGGATGAATCCTTTTTTTCTATATCTATGGATAAATCCAAAATATAGATATCTTACTTTCACAAACTCGTATCTTATAAAGAGTGGTTATTCAGGAGATGGCAAAACTTTCCATTTATTTTAAATTTCTTATCAAGGGTCTTAATTTGGATACATTACTTTAGGTATAGGTAAAAGCCAGTGAGTGAATATGAAGGAAATGTGAGTTGAAGTCAGCCTGCAAAATTTTGTATATACAGTAATTTTTTTTTTGATACAGTTGCTCAAAACGTGGTATTTTTCGTACTACAAATCGTGACGAAAGTTGGAATTTTCGCACTAGTGCTTTTTACTTTTCCATTTTTTTTAAATTTACTCTTGTTTCAAATCTTAAGCACAGAACTAAAGAAGTTGTATATTTACGTGCTTTGTGACGTAAGTCATTCGTCATTAAAACTTATATTTATTTACAAATACTATATAATGAACGTATCGAGTGGAGGTCCACAGTCTCTGCCTACCCCTGAATGGGTGACAGGCGAGATTTTTATGTATATATTTGTTCTATGTATTACAGATAAATTGTATCTCACTACCGTGCACGGGTTCCTAAAGAAGTTTAAACAA